ACTGGACCAATAAACTACATCCATATAAATGAAGAAAAAATTAAAGTTGTCAAAGATTTCATTTTGTTCAGGCCAGCCATCAGCACTCATGGAAGCAGCAGTCAAGAAATTAAATGACATATTGCATTAAGCAAATCTGCTACACAAGACTTCTTTAAAGTGGTCAAGTACAAAGATGTCAGTTTGAGGACTTAGGTGCACCTGATCCAAGTCATGGTATTTTCCATAACTTCATATGCATGTGAAATTTGGACAGTAAATAAGGAAATCCATAGAAGAATTTATGCATTTGAGTTATGGTGTTAGAGGTGAATATTGAAAGTACTACTTGCAAATGTTACCCACACTTGCAAATGTTACCCACGTGACCTGAATCGGATAACTGGATGATCGGAGCTCAACCAGCAGAGGAAAGAAGAGGGGAAAAAAAAAAAGAGTGAGCTAATACAGTCTGATGAACTTGACCTATACCTATGGAGTAGCGACTCAAAAGAGGGAACAAATCCTCACAGCAACAAACATTCACACACACAGAGTGGACAGAGAAGGGCAGCTTGGACATTGGATACTCAAATTGGGAAGGGAGGACTACAAAGGCAAGAAGTGACTGGCTTACAAGCTTTCAAGAGGGAACCTAATGCTAGGGAACATGGCGGAAGGCAGAATCTCCAGTAGGTACTATTCAATCTGTCTGGGCGGAGCTGATGAAAGGAGATACAGATGGGTAACTTGTGATACTGTAGTGAACAATGCTTATCAGGACGGACTATGAGGGTTGGAAATGCAAAGGTAGAAGTTTTGTAACAAGGAAGGGAGTGATTAAATCTCCAGGATAGGAGCGGAGACCTCTGGGACCATCAACGGAGAAGAGCCGAGAGCGGGACCCTACCCAGAGAAACAGAGATGCCTGAGGTGGAGGCAGAGATGATGACGCAGAGTGATGAAGCAACCGGGGACTTTGGACCCAGAGAGGGAAAGGGACTGTGGGCCAAAAACTGGGGGGAGGAGGGGGAAGTGTAGGGGGCCGGTTTCTGGGATATACCCTTTGGGTGATTGATGCTGCATGGAGGGGATTGGAACCATGGCAATGAGATGATATATGATGGAATGAATGTAAAACTAAAGTTCCCCCATGTAAACTATCATATAATTCACAATAAAACATTTTAAAAAACGTACAACTAACTGTCAAAAAGGAGCTCTGGTAGCTTAGTGGTTACGAATCGGGCTGAGAACTGCAAGGTCAGCAGTTCGAAACTACCAGCTGTTCCGCGGGAGAAAGATGAGGCTTTCTGCTCCCATAAAGATTTACAGCCTCAGAAACCCTATATAGGGTCACTATGAGTCGGAACCGACTCCATGACACCATAACCACCACACCACCACTGACTGCCAAAAGAACAAACCAATCTGTGTTGGAAGAAGTGTAGCTAGAATGCTCCTTAGAAGCCTTGATGACGAGAATTATGTCTCATACTTTGAACGTATTATCAGAATTGGCACATTGGCAGCTTCAATGGGCTCAAGTGTAGCAATGATTGTGAGAATGGCATGGGACCGGACAGTGTTTCATTCTGTTGTGCATAGGGTTGTTATGAATTGGTATGGACTCGATGTCACCTAACAACAACAATATTGAGATTGTGTAGAATCTACACAATTAACCTCTTAAAGATACTGAATTTTCTAATCCATGAACATGAATACCTTGTCACTTATTTAGGTCTTGAATTTTTTTTTTCAAAAGTGTTTTCAATGTTCAGGACTTGCACATGTTTTGTTAAATTCATTCTAAAATATTTAACTTTATTTCAGGCAATTGTGAATGATACTTATTTCTTTAAATTTTATTTTTAAAGCATTGTAGCTATACATTGTAGAAATACATTTTTTAAATATATATAGTGACCTTGTATCTTATGGCGTTTTCAAATGCACTTAAAATTTGAGAAGTTTTTTTTTTGTAGATACTTTAGGATTTTCTTCATATATGACCATGTTGTGAATTAAGATCAATTAATCTTTTGCTCATCTTCATGCTTTTAATTTTGCAGCAAAAGTAAAATACCTGACCTTTCTCTTCACTCATCTTTGAGATCCTTGATTTTTATAAATTGCTTTATGAAACTTTAAGAAACTGCTGCTTTATCAATTCCACGGTACTTTTTATTTTCATAAAAACATTTGCTGTTGTTAAATGCCGTTGAGTTTGTTCCGACTCATAGTGACTCTGTATACGGCTTCCAAGGAGTGGCTGGTGAGTTTGAAGCACAAACCTTGTAGTTCAAACTGACACTGCGGTCGAGTGCTTCTCTTAAAGAACCATTCCATGATTTCATATATAATTCAAAATTAGCAATTCACATCTTTCAGGTATACAATTTAGTAATATAAATTAATTCATTACTCATGTTGTCTAGCCAACACTTATTAACTTTCCAGTTACCAGAAACAGAAATTTCCAGAGGTATTTTAATATTTAAAACAGGCATTATAGATTTAAGGTATCAAACATTTCTTAGCTCTGGCTCTTTGCACAGTTTTTAGTAATTATTTTGTTTTCCCATCTACTTGTCCCACCTAACCACTGGTGGTGGTGGTAGTGGTGTGCCGTGGAGTCAGTTCTGATTCATAGGGACCCTGTGCAGGGTTTCCAAGGCTGTAAATCTTTATGGGAGCAGAAAGCCTCATCTTTCTCCCACAGAACGACTGATGGTTTTGAACTGCTGACCTTTAAGTTAGCAGCCCAATTCGTAACCACTACGCTACCAGAGCTCCTTTACCTAACCACTATCTCCAGTCATTTATCATCTTTGTAGTGTTTAGAGCATAACTGTGCCTGACACTTCAACATTGCTCAATTAATACTTATTGAATAAAGGAATGATGTAATTCGGACCTATTTGAAATGGACTCAACTGTAGCCTAAAGAATTTGGTAAGAAGTGGGTTCACTCAGACCTCAACATTTGCATTTAAATTAGACCATCTATTGGCATGATCCTTGAGTGGCCTTGCACCATGCTATTGCCCATTAGGTGGGCATTTCTGCATCTCATTTTCCAATTGATTAAAAAAAAAAACTTGTTTTAACTATAATATAGTTCTGACATACATAATAATCACTGGACTCATTAAAGCTTTTTGCATATTTTTCCTATCCAACAGCAACATTTGACCCCATTTTCTTTTTGCTCTCTCTGAATATACTTGAGTTGGAGAATGTTGGATAGTCATTTGTATGTTCTTGGAACCACTCGCTGTTTTTGACCTTAAACACTCTTCTAAATTGTTGCTGTTGATGAACTAGCAACACAGGATTTCTGTTTTCATGACTGCCAGAGGGTTTAGAGCAGGCCTGGTTACAGAGGGTTCTTCCAGCACTCAGCTTCTTTTCGTCTGGCTCAAAACCAATTTTCTAAAATTAACTGTGGCTTAAGTTTTCCCTCCTGTTAAAACGAAGATGTTTTTAAAGGCCGTTAGGGGATTATCACACAAGGCCACCAGATGGATCTATTCTTCCATTTAAAAAGAAGAATTGTCTCTGTGAAGTGGCCATTCTACTCTAACCAATAGGCCTAGGTTTCCCAGCTAGTGATAATAATTGTAGATGAAGTCAGAGTAACATTATTTCAATGTTCCAAACCTCCATTGCTTACTACAGGGTGTCAAATTTTTATTTTGAGTTGTCTTGTCCAAATGCTTCTGAGGATCCCTAGAGATTCTTATATGTGTCTAATTATCAGTCTTGATTGTCACTTGTTGGTATTTATTGGTGTTAGTACAGAGCAATAGTTCCATATCCTAAGGCCAAACAGGTTTGCAGAGAAGCCTCGCTCTCCACTCCAGTGTTGCAGTTATTTTCATGGTGAAGATGGAAATAAAAATGGAAGTAAAGGCAATGCAAGAAAGAGGATAGTAGAGGCTAAAACTGTTGTTAGGTCAATTTTGAATCATATTGACCCTATGTGACAGATAGAACTGCCCCATAGAGTTTTCTTGGCTATAATCTTTATGGAAGCTGCATCCAAATGCTTTATTGATGCAGCATCCAGGGCTCCTTTATGTTAGGGGGAGAGGTGCCCTAAATCAAGATTCTATGAATTTTAAAATATTACAGACATTAATGATAAGAGTGCATTTTCTTAATTAGTTTTATTAGTTATTGGTTCTCTCAGACATTATCAGGCCTTTTGAAGGCATGGGGCTGATTCATGACATGAAAATATAGATAAAATTTCCTAATGCTGCATTTTTGTGACAATTATTTTTTATGATTTCTGAAAGTGCTATTGAAAGATAATATTGCAGTTTATTGGCCATATAGATTTTCTTGTTTTTACTATGATATACAATTAAGCTTTGTCATATTTAAAATTATTTCCTTGGCATAGATTTTCAGTACAAGAATGTGTAAATGAAAAAGTATGAATATTTTAATGCTTGCTATACAGCAAATCAATTCAGAGAGAAAAATAACTATCCAGTTGCTAGCATATAGGTATCAGGCTCCTCTAATATTTAGGAGCATGAGAAATGGGGCAAAAGATCAGGAAGTTATTTTACAGAGCAAAATAACAGGTAGATAAGAGTAATATTGGCCTATGGAGAGATTCTGCAGCTATTCATTAGGTTGTCAGTGGCTAACCATTCAGAAGTCTTTCCTCCTTCCTATTGTGTCTTAATCTGAAGCTCTGCTTAAACTTGTCCACTATGCGTGAACCTTAAAGTACCAGTGGCATAGCTTCTAGCACTACAGCATCACAGAAGCCACCACAGTGTGACAAAGTGACAGATGAGTGGTGGAAAGTTTAAATCAAGTTATGCAGTGTATGCAACTCTGATCTCTTAATCCCAGACTCTTCACTAATTTCCTTTGGAGGCTTAGGTTGTTGCTAATAAAAGCAGACAGAACAGACCTCAAGATTTCCTTTTTTCTGAGAAAGCGGGTATGTTGACCTCCTTGTGTGACTTGAATGTCTGTCATGTGGTTACTTCCAGCATCCACCAGCTGAGGAACAAAGTATCAGAGGAGCATGATGTTCTCAAGAAGAAAGAGATGGAATCAGCGCCCAAAGCATCTCATGGCTATGGAGGCAAGTTTGGGGTAGAAAGAGACCGTATGGACAAGGTACGTTGAAAGGTTTTTTGTTTTTTTTTTAAAGATACATTGAACAATTTGTTGGTTTAATGGTTTAAAATTTACTCAAAAGTGTAGTATTTGAGTTCTAACCCAGTGTGTCCACATGTATTTAGAAGGACTTGCCTATGTAGCCCTGTTGTTGTTGTTGTTAAGTGCCATCGAGTCGGTTTCGACCCATAGCGACCCTGAACAGGGTTTCCGAGGCTATAAATCTTTAAGGGAGCAGATCGCCTCATCTTTCTCCCATGGAGCAGCTGGTAGTTTCGAACTGCAGACCTTGCCAGACTGTAATTCCTGGACTTGGGAGAGAGTGAGTGCAAGTGGAGAAGGGAAAAAATATGTTTAAAACTTGTTTTTGGCTTTTAAATGTTTTATAGTATGTGTATTCTGTAACTTATTGTTATTTATTTTACTGTGTGGTTAGTGCTGTCGAGTTGGTTCTGACTCATAGCTACCATGTATCGGGGTCTTGAGGCTATAATCTTGACAGTAGCAGAGTCTCATCTTTTCCCACGGAGTGGCTGATGGAGCCAAACTGCTGACCTGTGGTTAGCAGCCCAACATATACCCTACTACGTCACTAGGATTCATATACATGTTGTTGTTAAATGCTGTCTACTCTGTTCTGACTCATAGTAACCCTGTATAGAATTTCTGATGAACACCTGAAGGGTTTGAACTGCCAACCTTGCAGTTTAGTGTTTATCCCACATTGTCATAGCAAGACTCCTATAATGCATGGGTATGAAAAATCCTGATGTGAATTTATTCAGTAGATCCTCTACACATATGAATATTGAATTTTCTTTACTATTAAATACAAAAAAAATTAAATTCAACATGTTGTTGTTAGGTGACGTTGAGTCAGTTCCTACTCATAGCAATCCTGTATAGGGTTTCTAAGGAGTGGTTGGTGGGTTTGAACTGCCGATCTTATGGTTCTTACACAGAAATAATGCAAATGATGCTTCTTCTCAGGAGCTTCCTATCAATCTTGTGCTGAAACATCAGCATAGAATCAGAAATAAAGGAGGAAGAAGAAGCTTTCTAGTTTCTTTTCTACTTAAGACTTTGCAAGATGGTGTTATCATTTGGCTTGATGTGTTACTGAATTCTTAGATTATGAAAACATCCATCTTAATCTAAATATTACAAGAGAAACATGAATATGTATCAAAACCAAATAGAAAACAAAATGGGTAGGTAAAGTGTATAAGGGAGTGAGTTATCTGCTATCTCAATATTGTTCCTACCTCCTTAGGTATGATGTCACTGTTAAATGTCAGGGCACACGTGGTATTTCTGAACTTTGATGGCTACACAAGAGAACAAAGATCCAGGACCAGAACAAAGCAGCTGGTTGTTTTATGAACTATTCAACTTTAGTGATGGTGTCCAGTCAGCCCTATTTGGTGTCTCCCCATACATACCCTCATTTCTGTTTTGATGGACAAGTCCTTGTTTTCTCTCCCTTTATTTTTTTCCCTCCCCTGGTTTAAATACAATTTCATCAATCTATTCTGCCTCCCAGCCCAACCTCTTGAACTTTCCTGAGTGATACATTTCTAATGGCATTCAAGAAGCTTCAGGGATGTGTGAGGTTCTAGAAAACAATCATTTTATTCTGCTATCATATATCACCCTGGAAAAAATCAGAAGCTATGAGTCTAACCCCTGATGGGATTTCTTGTAATCTTACATTCCATCTATCTCTGTATCTCTTTCTTTATTTCTTCTTCTTTTTTAAAATAGCTATTTTTATTTTAGGAGCTCTGGTAGCGTAGTGGTTACGAATTGGGCTGCGAACCACAAGGTAAGCAGTTCGAAATTACCAGCTCTTCCGTGGGAGAAAGATGAGGCTTTCTGCTCCCATAAAGATTTACAGCCTCAGAAACCCTGTACGGTCGCTATGAGTCAGAACCGATTCCATGGCACATAACAACAACAACATTTTTATTTTAACATGCACCCTGTTCTTGATTATTCTCAGAGTGCTGTGGGCCATGAGTATGTTGCTGAGGTGGAGAAGCACTCTTCTCAGACGGATGCTGCCAAAGGCTTTGGGGGCAAATATGGAGTTGAGAAAGACAGGGCTGACAAGGTAAGTGACAACTCTCTCCCTACACTGCCCACCACAAATAATGCTGGGCTACTCAGCACTCAGAATCCTGATGTGGCGCTGTGGGTTAATGCGCCAGACTGCAAAACCATTTGAACTGCAAGGTTGGTGGTTCAAGCTCACCAGCTGCTCCTCAGAAACCCTCTACAGGGTTGCTATGGGTTGAATCTGACTCGATAGCACTTAACAACAACCCAGCACTCACCCTTGAACGTGGGCTTGTGTTTCTCTTGTGGAAGAATTGGGCAGTGGGTGCTAGCTCCCATGACTTTCCTCAGCAAATTCCATGGCTACACGTTGGAGGCCACATCCTGAACTGAAAGGCATCAATTTAAAGGACACAAAGACACCCACACTGTTTGGCTAAAAGTCATGAGTTGTTATGTTTGTATGATGAAGAGATAAGAGGAAAATGCCAAAAGTTCTTCTTTTGGCCCAATTATGTTGTTGGTGAGTACCTTGGAATTAATTCTGACTCATAGAAGCCCTGTGTAGGACTCCCAAGACTGTAAATCTTTGTAGGAACAGAAAGCCTCATCTTTCTCCTGCTGAGCAACTGGTGAGCTCAAACTACCAACGTTTTGGTTCACAGTTGAGTGCTTATCCTACAAAGCCACCACACTCCTCTTAGCTAAATATAGAAACTTTATACATATTATGGAGTCCTGATGTGGCACTGTAGGATAAGCACTGGACTGCTAACTTAAAGGTCAGCAGTTCAAACCCACCAGCTGCTCCTTGGAAACCCTATACAGGGTCACTAGGAGTTGAAACTGACTCAACATCACATACCAACAACATTATACATATTATGCCTTTTAGGAAAACAGAGGTGTCAGTTTAAATATTACTATCAAGACCCAAATAATCAAGTAAAACAACTAATTAGGGTTATAACAATTTTAGAAGGTAGTTATTTTTCACAGAATTTGGTGTTAATTTCTCAAGTGTAGATGTTTTAAATACTTCTTTCTATAAACAACTGAACACAAAGAAGTTAAACACATAAAAAGGGTTGTTAGATTACAGGACTGAGGTTCTCAGCTCTTGAATTACAGGATTGAGGTCCACAGTGCCATAATTTATTGGATCAAATTCTTTGAAGTAATTTTAATGGTGCAGAATAGTCTCTTCCCTTGCAGCTGCTCAGAGACATTTTTTCCCATAGCTGAGATTCTGTGGAGTTTTTTTTTGTTTTTTTTTGTTTTCATTTTGATTAACAGCTAATTAGGTGGACTTGGATCCTTAAAGCTTAAAGTGCTAGAAAGTTATTTGTTTGCATTGTAGACCTTAAAAAACAAACAAACAAAAAAGTTCAGAATATAGTATACAGGCAGTCCCCAGGTTGTTGTTGTTAAGTGCCTTCGAGTTGGTTCCGACCCATAGAGACCTTGTACAGGGTTTCCAAGGAGCAGCTGGTGAGCTTGAACCACTGACCTTGTAGTTCAATCCGACAAGTCCCCAGGTTAGAAGCATACAATTTACAGACAACTCATACTTGCCCTGTAATGCTATGTAAATTTGCTCTCAGTTTAAAAAACTATTGAACCAACCTCTATTTGAAACAAATTTTTTATCGCAATCACCTTTTACTTGCTGCACATCCAGCTTGCAAATCATTGAAGAGGCTTCAAGCCTTTTCTTGCATGAAACTTCACTGTTATCAAGTCAATTCTGACTCATAGCTATCCTATAGGACAGACTAGAACTGCTCCCTCCAGAGGGTTACCAAGACTGTAAGTCTTTGTAGGAGCAGTCTCATTTTCCCCCACAGAGTGGCTGGTGAGTTTGAACCAAAGTCCTTATGATTAGCAACCCAACACGCAACCCACTGCACAACCAGGGCTCCTTTTCTTGCATTAAACTCAAAACAAACCCAAACTCACTGCCACCAAGTCAATTCTCACTCATAGCGACGACCCTGTGCAGGGTTTGTGAGGCTGTAAATCTTCACAGGAGCAGGAAGCCTCATCTTTCTCCTTAGAAATGGCTGGTGACCTTTCAGTTAGCAGTCTAGTTCTTATCCTATGCACAGTCTGGACTCCTTTTATTGCACCAAAATTAGGCTAAATAAGAGCCATGTGCACCTATTCGGACTTAACCTATAAATGTGAGTTAAAGACACACTTAGTAATGGATCTTGTTCATAACCCAGGGACTGTCTATAAAGAGAAAAGGAAAGGGACAGAGGTAATTTGGAAGGCAACAATGACTAAGTGCTTGACTGCTAAGCAAAAGGTTGGTGGTTCAAAGCCACCATCAGTTCCATAAGAGAAAAGACCTGGCGATCTCCTTCCATAAGGTGACAGCTTAGTGGTGACGGTGGTGATGTGCCGTAGAGTCAGTTCCAACTCATAGCGACCCTGTACAGGGTTACTGAGACTGTAAATCTCTACGGGAGCAGGAAGCCTCATCTTTCTCCCACAGAACAGCTGGTAGTTTCGAACTGCTGACCTTGCGATTGGTAGCCCGATTTGTAACCACTACGCTACCAGAGCTCCTTAAGGTGACAGCTTAGGAAGCTTTATGTGCAGCTCTACTCTGAACTATAGGATCAGTATGGTGGGAATGGACGGGACAGCACAGCACAGCATACCAACAACAATACTCTATAGTCAGGATGGAATTTTCTGCTTCATTTTGGTCCCTCTGCCTGATCTCTCATTGTCGTCACATCTTCTGTCCTAGGAACCACAAGCTGAATCACCTAACAACGTGAATCACCTAACAATGTGTATCAAGAAATGCTACATATTAATTAGCTTTTAAGATGCAAATTTTAGACTTGCTTCCAGACCCATAGTTATTGAACCAGCTTCTGGGGTGTGGGAGAGAGAGCTCATAGCTACACAGATTTTGGTGGAAAGGGAGGAGTGTCTGAATCCTGACTGAATTCTAGGATTTGACATATGGATACTTAGTATCACCATGTTGGGAGTGCTGTGGCTCTGTAGGTAAGGTTGGCAGTTCATACCCATCAGTTTCTCCACGGAGAGAGATGAGACTTTCTGTTCCCGCAAAGATATAAAAGCCTCGGAAACCTTATCCAGGGTCGCTGTGAGTCAGAACTGATTCAAAAGTACTTAACAGCATCATCATGTAGCTTTGGGGCAGAGCTGGGAGTAAGGTAAAGCAGTTGTTGTTGTTGTTAAAGGCTGTCAAGTTGGCTCCAACATATAGTATTGCTGTATAGGGTTTCCCAGGAGTGGCTGGTGAGTTTGTGGCTCAAATTGGCCTTGCATTCCAGTGCATTATCTTACAGTGCCACACCAGGTAAAGCATGGAGGGGAAGAAATTGTTGGACCCTGACTCTAATTCTCTCTCCTTTTCTCTATAGTCAGCAGTTGGCTTTGATTACAAAGGAGAAGTGGAGAAACACACATCACAAAAAGGCAAGAACCCTGCCCTTCAGTCCTAGCAACCTGACTGACCTGCTGTTATGCCCAGACTCCATTGTCCAAGAGTTGTCACTAACTCCCTTTAGTTCCACAACCCAGCTTTCTATGGTCTAGCTTGTTTTTCAATCAATTATCTCCTAATTCTACTTTTCCATGAACTCCTTGGAGTCATCTCATACTTGCTTCTGTTTTTCCTATTTTGCTTTTTTATAACACGGACTATGTTTTCTCAAGGCTCTCCTTTTCCTCAAATACATTAAAAAGAATGCATTACACTTCTTTACTTTTACAGATTATCCCTAAGTTTTAACATATATCTTTGACTTGAATTTTCAATCACCATCTTCTTCCTGAGTAATGAAGTAAGCAATATTTCGCAGCAGTCTTTCTGTCAACCATACAAGAACCAGTATTTTGTTTTTATCTTGTTTTTAAACCCCATAAAAATAATTATTATTACCTTGTTATTAAGTGCCGTCAAGTTGTTTGCAACTCATAGCAACCCTGTATAGAGTTCTTAAGGAGCGACTGGTGAGTTTGAACTGCCTGCCGACCTTGCGGTTCAAACCAACCTTGCGGCCCAGTGCATTATCCCACAATGCCACACCAGGACTTATTTAAACTGTCCAATATATTTACCAATTTCCTTGTTCATCATTGTTTACTGTATCCCACTATTTGCCCCTAGGATAAATTTCCTTTTTGCTAAAGAACATACTTTGAAAAAATTTTTCGGACAGAAAAATGTCATTGTTAATTTTGAAGATATTTCACTGTCTCTAGTATCTTCTTGTGTCAGTTTAATTATTATTCCTTTGTAGGTAGGATATATTTTTTTCACTCTTTTTAAAGATTTTCTTCTTGTCTCATTCTGCAATATCACCAGGAAGTGTCTAGATGTTAGGTATATTTTTATGTGTGGCACTGTGAGTTAGTGCTCTGCACTGCAAAGTCAGTTTGAAATTATAAGGTCAGCAATTGGTTGGTTTAAAGTTCACCAACCGCTCCTCAGAAACCTTATACAGGGTTGCAATGGGTCAGAACTTACTTAATGGCACTTAACAACAACAACAGCAACATGATGATACTTAAGGAGCCCTGGTAGGATAGGGGATTACGTGTTGGGCTGCTAACCACAAGGTCAGCAGTTTCAATCCACCAGCTGCTTCTCTGGTGAAAGATGAGGCTTTCTGCTCCAATAAAGGTTTACAACCTTAGAAACCTTATACAGGGTTGACGACACATGGTAGCAGCACATGACACTTAGAAGTGTAGTACTCTGTAGGATAAGTACTAACCTGATAACTGAAAAGTCTGCGGTTCAAATACACCAGCAGCTCCATGAAAGAAAGATGAGGCTTTCTGTTTGCATAAAGATTCATAGCCTCAGAAACCCTTTGCAGGATTGTTGTTGTTGTTGAGTGCTGTCGAGTCGGTTCCAACCCATAGCGACCCTGTACAGGGTTTCCGAGGCTGTAAATCTTTACAGGAGCAGAAAACCTCATCTTTCTCCTGTGGAACAGCTGGTAGTTTCAAACTGCTGACCTTAAGGTTCGCAGCCCGATTCGTAACCACTACGCTACCAGAGCTCCTTAAATAATTATAGAGCTATTTAATCTTTTCAAAATTTTCTTAAGTCAGTTATAGTATGTTGTGTTTTACAAGAAATTAGAAAATTAGTAATAATAAATTGATTGTTTTTGCTATATACCTCCTCAGCATTTGGGAGGGCTGGCTCTGGTGAAGCCAGACACTGTCTTGGAAAAACCAGGACAGAAAACCCCAGGCAACCCGTGCAGAGAATAAACCACGAGCACCACCAGCTGTTAGATCCTTAATTACTAAGGTTCAGTTGTTGTTGTTGTTGTATACTGCTTAGTCGGTTCTGACTCAGAGAGACCCTGTATAGTGTTTCCAAGAACGGCTGATGTGTTTGAACCAGTTACCAGTCCAGTACTTATCCTACAGTACTGCACCAGGGCCCAAGGTTCAGTAAGACTATTACTATTCAATTAGAATTTTCTCTCTGCTGTCACATTTATTGGAGTATGTTATTCATGTTGTTGTTGTTGTTGTCATGTGCCGTGGAGTCGGTTCCAACTCATAGCGACCCTGTACAGGGTTTCTAAGGCTTTAAATCTTTACGGGAGCAGAAAGCCTCATCTTTCTCCCGCTGAGCAGCTGGTAGTTTCGAACTGCTGACCTTGCGCTTCGCAGCCCGTTTCGTAACCACTACGCTACCAGAGCTCCTTATGTTATTCATAGTATTCCCTTATTTTCTTTTTGATGTCTGGATGATCTATAATCCCAAATCCATGTACATATCTGATATTGTTAGTATGTGTCTTTTCTTTAATTGATTATTCTTGCTAGAGGTTTATCGATTTTATTATTTTCTTTTTAATTTTTGTGTTTTCTTTGTTATTTTTCTCTTCTATACAATGTGGACTTTGTTCTTTTGCTAGCTTCTTAAACTAGAAACTTAGGTAATAACTGTTCAAGTCTTTCTTTTCTAATATGGCAGTTTAAACACTGTTTTTGTTGCATTCCACAAATCTATTATGTTTTTATTTTCTTCAGTTCAAAATATTTTCTAACTTCCCTTTTGACTTCTTCTTTGACCCAATTTTAAAGTATATAATTTATTTTCTAGGTATTTATTTTTATTTTTCTCCTATTTTTTTTTTAAATTGCTGTTGATTTTCAAGTTTAATTCTACTGTGATCAGTGAATATTATATCTAATACTTCAATCTTTTAAAATATATTATGACTTATGGTATAAGTGAATATTTTATGTACATTTAAAAATGTGTATTCTGCAATTTGAGGGTATTGTGTTTTGTTAAAACCAGTTAGGTCTTGTTAGTTGATAGTGTTTATTGCTAGGTTGTTCTTTGGTGCTGTCAAGCAGGTACCCACTCATAGCGACCTTAGGCACAACAGAATAAAACACTGTTTGGTCCTGCACCAACTTCAAAACCGTTGCTTTGCTTGAGCCCATTGCTGCTCCCACTGTGCCAATCCATCTCGCTGGAGATCGTCTTCTTTTTCGTTAATCCTACGCTTGACAAATAACAAACCATGATGTCCTTCTTTAGGAACTGGTGCCACCTGATAATACGTCTCAAGTATGAAAGACAAAGTCTGGCCATCCTGGCTTCTAAGGAACACTCTGGCTGTACTTCTTCATACACAGATTGGTTTGCTCTTTTAACAGTCCAAAACGGTACTTTTAATATTCTCCCCCAACATCATAACTCAAGTTCAACAATTCTTCTGTGGTCTTCTGTATTCATTGTTCAATGTTTTTATTCATATGAGGTTATTGAAAATACTATCGGTTGGGTCAGGTGCACCTTAGTCCTCAAACTGAAATCCTTGCTCTTGAACACTTTAAAGAGGTCTTCTACAGCAGATTTGCCTAATGCAATATGTCATTTGATTTCTTGATTGCTGCTTCCATGAGTGTTGATGGTTGATCTGAGCAAAATGAAATCTTTGGCAATTTCAGTCTTTTCTCCATTCATCTTGATGTTATTTATTGGTCCAGTGGCAAGGTTTTTTGTTTTATTTACATTGATATGCAACCATACTGAAGGTCTTTGATCTTCATCAGTAAGTATTTTAAGTCTTCTTCACTTTCAGCAAGCAAGGTTGTATCATCTGCATATCGGAGATTTTAATGGGTCCTCCTCCAACCCGGATGCCACATTTTTCTTCATATAATCCAGCTTCTTGAATTATTTGCTCAGCATACAAAAGGTGTAAAAATGGTGGAAGAATACAACCCTGGCCGCATACCTTTCCTAATTTTCAACTATTCAGTGTTCCCTTGTTCTGTTTGAACAACTGCCTCTTGGTCTATGTACAGATTCCTCATAAGCATGATTAAGTGTTCTGCAATACTCATTCTTCGCAATGTTGTCCATAGCTTGTCATATCCACACAATTGGAAGCTTTTCTATAGTCAATAAAACACAGGTAAACATTGTTTTGGTATTCTCTGCTCTCAGCCATGATCCATCTGACATCTGCAATGATAGCCCTCATTTCATACCCTCATCTGAATCTGCCTTGAACTTCTGGCAGTTCTGTCAATGTATTGTTGCCATTTTTAAATTATCTTAGGAAAATTTTACTTGCATGCTATATTAATGATATTGTCTGATGATTTCTGCATTCCATTGGGTCACCTCTTTGTGGAATGGTCACAAATATGGCTCTCTTCCAATCAGTTGGCCAGGTAGCTGTCCTCCAAATTTCTTGGCATAGATGAGTGAGTGCCTCCAGTGCTGCATTAGTTTGTTGGAAAGATTTCTATTTGTACTCCATCAATTCCTGGTGCCTTGTTCTTTGCCAATGCCTTCAGTGCACCTTGGACTTCCTTCAATATTATTTGCTCTTGATCATATGCTACCTCTTGAAATGGTTGAACATCGACCTTTCCTTTTTTTTTTTTTTTTTTTTTTACAGTGACTCTAAGTATTCCTTCCATCTTCTTTTGATTCTTTCTGAATCATTCAATATTTTGCCCATCGAATCCTTCAATATTCCAAATTGAGGCTTGAACTTTTTCTTCAGTTATCTCAGCATGAGAAATGCTGAGCATGTTCTTCCCATTTGATTTTTTTTTTTTTCTTTCAGTCAAGCGTCACCTGTAAGGAAAGCATCTGCTGTTAAAGACAGATGCCATAGTACACTAGGGAAAATGAGCAATTTGGCAGAACTAGAAACTATGCAGACAGAGAAAAATAAAAATAATTTTATCATTCTCAGAGAAATAAAAGAATATATTTCATTCTATTGTTGTTGTTAAGTACTGTCGAGTCAGTCCCGACCCATAGTGATCCTGTATAGGGTTTCCGAGGAGCAGTTAGTGAGCTTGTAGTTCAAACGGCTTTGCAGTCTGGCACATTAACCCACAGCGCCACACCAGAACTCATATATATTTACATAACATAAAATTTATACTCTTTTAGTGTTGTTGTTAAG